GTATATACAGACAGACCGCCCGACGACTTCATCGGTGGCAGCGTAAAGGGGATAAAAGTATTTATATACACTGTATTTCCGTATATAGAAACGACCACCATGCCTGTCGGCCAGTAATAAGCTTCCCATGCTAAAATACATGCAAGTATTTCTCCGACACCTCACACAAACCAGGAATAAGTCTTCATTACAGACAATTCAATCCATCATGATGGTTCCGAGCACGACAGTATTGATAATATATTATTGATCTTATTGTACTAGGTCAAGAAAGCTTGATCAGTCGGAGAAATCAGGAGCTTTATCGGGATTCGTATGTCGGTCAAATGCTCTCCGGTGATTACCTACTTTCGTTTAAAACTAAATATGGTTCATCTTGTCACAAATACAGTATTGAATTGTTTTCTAGTGCAGTTATATTATATACACTTTAACAGATATCTGTCAAAGGAAGCAAAGCCACAGATATACCCATTTAGATACTAATACTGCTGTCTACCAACATGACTGATAGTCCCCAGCCACAAATATACCCATTTAGATACTAATACTGCTGTCTACCAACACGACTGATAGTCACCAGCCACAGATATCCCCATTTAGATACTAATACTGCTGTCTACCAATACGACTGATAGTCAAAAGCCACAGATATACCCATTTAGATACTAATACTGCTGTCTACCAATACGACTGATAGTCACAAGCCACAGATATACCCATTTAGATACTAATACTGCTGTCTACCAACACGACTGATAGTCACCAAGACAACAGTCGTGCTGGTAGACAGCAGTATTAGTATCTAAATGGGTATATCTGTGGCTGATGACTATCAGTCGTGTTGGTAGACAGCAGTATTAGTATCCATTGGCTGGGTGACTCAGAATATCTGTTGTCTTGGTATCAATGTCAAGATATACCCATTTAGATACTAATACTGCTGTCTACCAACACGACTGATAGTCAACAGCCACAGAAATACCCATTTAGATACTAATACTGCTGTCTACCAACACGACTGATAGTCACCAAGACAACAGTCGTGTTGGTAGACAGCAGTATTAGTATCTAAATGGGTATATCTTGACATTGATACCAAGACAACAGATATTCTGAGTCACCCAGCCAATGAATACTTGCCATTGATACCAAGACAACAGATATTCTAAGTCACCCAGACAATGGATACTTGCCATTGATACCAAGACAACAGATATTCTGAGTCACCCAGACAACGGATACTTGCTATAGATACCAAGACAACAGATATTCTAAGTCACCAAGACAACAGATACTTGCCACTGATACCAAGAAAACAGATATTCTAAGTCACCCAGACAATGGATACTTGCCATTGATACCAAGACAACAGATATTCTGAGTCACCAAGACAATGGATACTTGCCATTGATACCAAGACAACAGATATTCTGAGTCACCAAGACAATGGATACTTGCCATTGATACCAAGACAACAGATATTCTGAGTAACCAAGACAATGGATACTTGCCATTGATACCAAGACAACAGATATTCTGAGTCACCAAGACAATGGATACTTGCTATAGATACCAAGACAGCAGATATTCATTAGATACCAAGACAGCATATATGCGTTAGACACAATAACATTAATAACATAACAGCAGATATTTTCGTTTTTGTTAAGATACCAAGACTGCTATAGATACCAAGACAGCAGATACTCGTTAGATACCAAGACAGCATATATGCGTTAGAAACAATTGCTATTAATAACATAACAGCAGATATTTTCGTTTTTGTTAAGATACCAAGACTGCTATAGATACCAAGACAACAGATATTCTAAGTCACCAAGACAATGGATACTTGCCATTGATACTAAGACAACAGATATTCTGAGTCACCCAGACAAAGGATACTTGCCATTGATACCAAAACAACAGATATTCTGAGTCACCAAGACAACGGATACTTGCTATAGATACCAAGACAACAGATATTCTGAGTTACCCAGACAATGGATACTTGCTATAGATACCAAGACAACAGATGTTCTAAGTCACCCAGACAATGGATACTTGCCATTGATACCAAAACAACAGATATTCTAAGTCACCCAGACAATGGATACTTGCTATAGATACCAAGACAACAGATATTCTGAGTCAACAAGACAATGGATACTTGCTATAGATACCAAGACAACAGATATTCTAAGTCACCAAGACAACAGATACTTGCCATTGATACCAAGACAACAGATATTCTGAGTCACCCAGACAATGGATACTTGCTATAGATAACAAGACAGCAGATATTTGTTAGATACCAAGACAGCATATATGCATTAGACACAATAACATTAATAACATAACAGCAGATATTTCCGTTTTTGTTAAGATACCAAGACAGCCGATATTCATCACAGCCACCAAGATCTTACTACACCATATTTACAACTATTTGACAAAACAGTATTGACAATCATGACTTATTGGCCTGGCGTACTACCACCAGTACAGTGTTGACCTCTGTGTACCCAGCCCTCACCCATACCTAGAACAGTGTTGACCTCTGTGTACCCAGCCCTCACCCATACCTAGAACAGTGTTGACCTCTGTGTACCCAGCCCTCACCCATACCTAGAACAGTGTTGACCGCTGTGTACCCAGCCCTCATCCATATCTATAACGGTGTTGACTTCTGTGTACCCAGCGCTCACCCATACCTAGAACAGTGTTGACCTCTGTGTACCCAGCCCTCACCCATACCTAGATCAGGGTTGACCTGTGTGTACCCAGCCCTCACCCATACCCAGAACAGGGTTGACCTGTGTGTACCCAGCCCTCACCCATAACTAGAACAGTGTTGACCGCTGTGTACCCAGCCCTCATCCATAGCTATGACGGTGGTGACTTCTGTGTACCCAGCGCTCACCCATACCTAGAACAGTGTTGTCCTCTGTGTACCCAGCCCTCACCCAGACCTAGAACACTGTTGACCTCTGTGTACCCAGCCCTCACCCAGACCTAGAACAGTGTTGACCTCTGTGTACCCAGCCCTCACCCATACCCAGATCAGGGTTGACCTGTGTGTACCCAGCCCTCACCCATAACTAGAACAGTGTTGACCGCTGTGTACCCAGCCCTCACCCATACCTAGAACAGTGTTGACCTCTGTGTACCCAGCCCCCACCCATACCTAGAACAGTGTTGACCTCTGTGTACCCAGCCCTCACCCATAACTAGAACAGTGTTGACCTCTGTGTACCCAGCCCTCACCCATACCTAGAACAGTGTTGACCTCTGTGTACCCAGCCCCCACCCATACCTAGAACAGTGTTGACTTCTGTGTACTCAGCCCCCACCCATACCTAGCCTGTCATTAATCACTGGTTCTGGCAGTGTCAAACAAGCAAAACCTCACACCATTTCCAGTCTCATTGATCAGCCATGCTGACACATCTGGGACCCAGACCTCTTTTATGTTTACAGGCCAAATAACAAGGGCATTAGTTTCATTTATTGGTCAGGTCTAAAAAAGCCTAAGGAAGTTTGTAAAAGTCGCTGTCAAAACAGCTGGTTTTATATTAAGTGCAGCCTTTGAGGATTCCTATATACAGTGACCATTAGGATGTAACTGTAGCCCAATAGGGCTAAGACACTTCTGTTGACCAGAACGCTCATTTGTTTAGAGTGATAGTAACAATCGGAAGGCCAGGGTTCAAATCCAGACCTAGTCTTACGGGGGATCCCATTAACACCATGTTACAAGGTCATTCAAAGCATGAACTGCATTGTAACAGGATTATCGCCTCATACACTATGTGAAAATCCTGTCCATATAACCAGATACAAAACCCTACAATCTTGGGGGACAATTTTCCTTAACTTCTGAAGGTAAGCAACCTTCTAAATGTTGAGATTCACAAGATTAGAAGCAAGAATTCAAGCACATATCTTTATTTAATTTCAACATACTGTTTTAAAACATGTGTATATATTCCAGTAGTTTGACAAAGACACCCCATAATATCACCAAAGGCTGGTCTATATTGTAGACGAGGTCTATTATATTAGTTTCTGATCTGATACAAGGAGTTGTACTGAACCAAACCTCATCACCACAGTGTTGGAACACGACTACCCCCACCAGACCTCATAGTTTAACAAGACTGGGTAACCTTTAACCTTTTGTATAGAAGTTTATCAATATGATGAAAATGTTCGGTGTTTTTATACATTTGTTACAATTCAGTCCATGGAAGTAAAAGTTATATATATGCCCCAAGTTGTTTTTGTTCAGCCAACCCTATATGCTGTTTGTCAGGTTTCAAAAGTTAAAATCTGCTAATGTGAATCTTTCGATTCCAATGCAAGCATCACAAGCATCACTAACATATAACTCAATAACATTACAGACGGGCTCACTTCTCTAAAACAGAACTTCTGCTGAGCAAACAAATTTGATAAAATATTGATTACATCGACAACAATCATGACAAGAGTGAAATGGGCTGTAACACAGCCGATCCAATTTCAATACACAAGAGGTAGGTCCCCTAAACTCTAAGTGATGCTACCATATGATACACTCAAACATCAGGCTTTATTACTTCTGGTACATTTTTATCCAATACAGGCTTCTAAAGCCTCCTCCACATAATTAGTCCAATCAAGTTCTTCCTCTCAATCAAACTTATTTCACATGCAACACTGTATATGAAAATCCTGATGACAAATGTGATTACTTATAGATGTCTATATGTTATAGCCACAGAGCAGATACACCAGTAGGAATAGTCAATTTACAGGAAACAAATTTGTTGATCGATAGAACAGCCTGATGTGTGTTTGAGAATTGTGTGGGTGATATCGGGATACTCTCCACACCATAGCAGCCTTGTTGGGGGTGGGGTGTGTGTCGGGGGAGGTTCTCACACATCTCAACAGCTTGATGTGTGTTTGAGTAACTTGTGAATAGATCTGATGATTGGGTGGGGGGTACTCACACATCTCAACAGCTTGATCTCGTCTACTGCAGTCTCTGTGTAGTGCTGTGCACTCTTCACTACCTTCAGGGCAACAAACCGCTTCTCTCTGAAAGATCATTGAAATTGTAAAGTTAACATTAATTATACAACATTAAACCGGAGCAGTGACATCCCCTCCAGATCATAAACCATTTCTTTTCAATATAATAACATTATAAAAATTTAGCGGTGAAGTTTTCAAAACGGAGAAGTGAAATAACACAGGTGTAATAAACCTTCTCTCATTGTTTGTATTTACTACACTAGTAATGACCTTTATAACACAGGTGTGCTGAACCTTCTCTCACTGTTTGTATTTACTACACTAGTAATGACCTTTATAACACAGGTGTAATGAACCTTCTCTCACTGTTTGTATTTACTGCACTAGTATTGACCTTTATAACACAGGTGTAATGAACCTTCTCTCCCTGTTTGTATTTACTACACTAGTGATGACCTTTATAACACAGGTGTAATGAACCTTCTCTCACTGTGTGTATTTACTACACTAGTAATGGCCTTTATAACACAGGTGTAATTAACCTTCTCTCATTGTTTGTATTTACTACCCTAGTAATGACCTTTATAACACAGGAGTAATGACACTTCTCTCATTCTGTGTATTTACTACACTAGTAATGGCCTTTATAACACAGGTGTAATTAACCTTCTCTCATTGTTTGTATTTACTACCCTAGTAATGACCTTTATAACACAGCCACAGGTGTAATGACCCTTCTCTTATTCTGTGTATTTACTACACTAGTAATGACATTTATAACACAGGTGTAATGACCCTTCTCTCATTGTTTTTATTTACTACACTAGTAATGACATTTATAACACAGGTGTAATGACCGTTCTCTCATTGTTTGTATTTACTACCCTAGTAATGACCTTTATAACACAGGAGTAATGACACTTCTCTCATTCTGTGTATTTACTACACTAGTAATGACATTTATAACACAGGTGTAATGACCGTTCTCTCATTGTTTGTATTTAATACACTAGTAATGGCCTTTATAACACAGGTGTAATGACACTTCTCTCATTGTTTGTATTTAATACACTAGTAATGGCCTTTATAACACAGGTGTAATGACCCTTCTCTTATTCTGTGTATTTACTACACTAGTAATGGCCTTTATAACACAGGTGTAATGAATCTTCTCTCACTGTTTGTATTTACTGCACTAGTATTGACCTTTATAACACAGGTGTAATGAGCCTTCTCTCACTGTTTGTATTTACTGCACTAGTATTGACCTTTATAACACAGGTGTAATGACCCTTCTCTCATTGTTTGTATTTCTTACACTAGTAATGACCTTTATGACACAGGTGTAATGAAACTTCTCTCACTGTTTGTATTTATTACACTAGTAATGACCTTTATAACACAGGTGTAATGACCCTTCTCTCATTCTGTGTATTTACTACACTAGTAATGACCTTTATAACACAGGTGTAATGAACCTTCTCTCACTGTTTGTATTTACTACACTAGTAATGACCTTTATAACACAGGTGTAATGACCCTTCTCTTACTGTTTGTATTTACTACACTAGTAATGACCTTTATAACACAGGTGTAATGAACCTTCTCTCACTGTTTGTATTTACTACACTAGTAATGACCTTTATAACACAGGTGTAATGAAACTTCTCTCACTGTTTGTATTTACTGCACTGTATGTTGTAAAAACACTTCATGACATTATTAAATCAGTTACATTTCCTTGTTCATATGTAACTATGAGATTTTTGGTGTTTGTTGTGTTAACATTCAACTGCGAGATATCTGTCATTATTATTCAACCGTGAGATTTCTGTTGTTCATATTCAACAGTAGATTTCTGGTGCTGATATTTCACTGTGAAATTTATGGTACTCATATTTGACTAAATGTTTCTGACAAGAGATATGAAATATAATGGAGATAAAAATACTGAAATATAAAACAATTTCAGACAAATTACAGTGCAGGAAATAAACGGTGTCTATGACGACGACACAAAATCTATTACACCAACAATTTCCGTTTGACTGCATATCAATCATGAAGCAATAAGTGTGCTGCTTTATAGAAGTTATAGCGCAAACTCATTCCTGAAACAGTGTCCACCACAACTCCTGGCTTCCGACATGATTACTTAAGAGATATAGTTTAAAACCATACAGATGGACCCATCATTGTGACGATTAGAAAGGACTCCCAGCCAGAAGATCATGCACAATAACAGTGGAAAACACTGGATCACAGAGCGGTCCCAAAGCTAACCGAAAAGTTATCACAATGTACTGATTGGTGTTCCCTAGGGCCTAGGGCAGTGAGCCAAACTTTGTAAAGGGGAAGTCACTCTAACATAATCTCATAAAGCTTCTTAATCAGACACCATTTTTCTGTCAACCTTTTTTTTTAACGAGTGTATTTCTTTTAAATATTTTCTATTTGAATTTAATGATTTTCTTGCCAGTTTATGCATACAATATTTCTTCCAATTTAACCATAATTTTACATGGAATTCTCCCTGGTGCTGTAAATATTTGCTATACAAAATGGTTCCAGTGAGAGATTAAAACCAAACAACCCGACACAGTTACATGTCAGCTACTCCACTACCCAGCAAAGGTAATGAAAACTAATGTTTATACCAATTAGCATTGGCTAAGCACACATCATTTAACGAGTGGAGGAATTTATTACAGGGATCCATTGATTATCACATAAACATCACTAAACTACAACGTCGGCTCTCCTGTCCTCGAAACACTTCAACAAATTTTATGGCACACATTTTCTAAATCCATCTGAAAACAGATCTGTAGAACATATCAAACTACAAGGTTTTAGCTTGAGCCATTAAGTAATCACATTGCAATTGGATCTAGCAGAAACAGCAACTTTCCACTCCGCATTTATTCACTTCATAAATACGCGTTACAAAAATGAAATATTACAACAAGTGTCATTTATAATACTGCTTTTTTATATTTTATTTCCAATCTTTTTAATCTTTAATTGCATTTTTCCACAGAAAAGATAAAATGGAATTAAATAAAACTATGTAGAGATTTTTTTTCCTTATTGAATGTCTCAATCAAGGACATTGAATCATTTATCCAGAATCACGTACCAAAATCATTCAAAGTATAGTTCAACAGTCATAGACACGTATGATTGTAATCTCTCAGTGTATAAAACATAGCAACAGTCATAGCCATGTATGATTGTAATCTCTCAGTGTATAAAACATAGCAACTGGTATATAATAAGACTGGTCCCCCGACGTCTCTACAATAATGAATTATTTAGGAAAAAATAAACTCGATAATTTTGATCAATTGGATGTCTGATTCTAGAAAAACTAGGGGGAGATAAGCTAGTAGTAAAAGGCAGCCGGGAAATTCTTCATAAAAACTTGGGGACTGGTAGGCAGTCTAGTATATAATATGAAAACCTGTAGGAATCTGGTCCCGTAACAAACAAACTGGGTAATCAAAATGAAATGCTGTAGGAATCTGGTCCCGTAACAAACAAACTGGGTAATCAATATGAAATCCTGTAGGAATCTGGTCCCGTAACAAACAAACTGGGAAATCAATATGAAATCCTGTAGGAATCTGGTCCCGTAACAAACAAACTGGGTAATCAATATGAAATCTTGTAGGAATCTGGTCCCGTAACAAACAAACTGGGTAATCAATATGAAATCTTGTAGGAATCTGGTCCCGTAACAAACAAACTGGGTAATCAATATGAAATCTTTCACCTAGTACTAGCATGTCTTCAAAATTACTGTAAAACAACAGGGATTCAAACTGATCGTCTGCAGACAAGAAATATAAACATTCATAATTTTTTCAGATTTGTTAAGCAACTTTGGCCTGACCAACTACATCGTATTGTATACATTTCTATGCAAATTTTACCCATAGTCAGAATTCTTTCCGTAGAAAATTAATATCAATTAATGCTATGCAGAGTTTACTCTACAAGAAAAAGTACATGTTATATGAGTGTATTATGTGTATGAATGCATTTTTAAGTCTAAGAGTATCTTGAGGACACAAGTGGCTTTGTCCATCAACTCAATTATCTAAACACAACACACTATAAACGTATGAATTCCATAAATATGTCTCCTATGTATTCATTGATGGTAGATCCACATTACATTAAATGAAATTGGTCCTGTTGGATCGTGAGGTCTAGGGCATTTGTCTATGTTTAAACCCTGGTCTTTGTGTTTCCACTCTTTGCTAAAATACTTACGCCATATCCCAGCAGAGCCACACTGTGGAAAAGTGGCCCCATCCAAGCTTGCGGACAACATGGTACTTCCCATTGAAAAGGTCACCGATCTTCACAGGATGGTAGCCCCCTGTAAAATAAGAAATAAACATATGAATTACTTTCAGTATTTTGTTCATTTTTAAATAATTGGAGCCCATGATGACATTTAATGAAAATAGTCATGAACAGCAGAAATGAAACAGGGATCGTTTGAGCCTCTTAATTATGCAATGCATGCTGAAGTTGTTTGGACACCGAAAAAGTTGTTAGATAACAACAATTTTTGATAATAAGTACATCATCTGATAAGGTCCAGGTTATTCATAGTACAAATACAGTAATGCTCCCAAGATTACAGCACATTCTTCTGATTGTGCTGACACAGTTTTGTTCCTAGGAAGGTAGTATCTTCACCTGATGGTGCTAGTAGTATAGCAGCACCAATGAGTATAGTATCTTCACCTGATGGTGCTAGTAGTATAGCAGCACCAAGCGGTATAGCATCTTCACCTGATGGTGCTAGTATAGCAGCACCAATGAGTGTAGTATCTTCACCTGATGGTGCTAGTATAGCAGCACCAAGCGATATAGTATCTTCACCTGATGGTGCCAGTATAGCAGCACCAAGCAGTATAGTATCTTCACCTGATGGTGCTAGTATAGCAGCACCAACGAGTGTAGTATCTTCATCTGATGGTGCTAGTATAGCAGCACCAAGCGGTATAGTATCTTCACCTGATGGCGCTAGTAGTATAGCAGCACCAAGCGGTATAGCATCTTCCCCTGATGGTGCTAGTATAGCAGCACCAATGAGTGTAGTATCTTCATCTGATGGTGCTCGTATAGCAGCACCAAGCGGTATAGTATCTTCAACTGATGGTGCTAGTAGTATAGCAGCACCAAGCAGTATAGCATCTTCACCTGATGGTGCTAGTATAGCAGCATCAATGAGTGTAGTATCTTCACCTGATGGTGCTAGTATAGCAGCACCAATCAGTGTAGTATCTTCACCTGATGGTGCTAGTATAGCAGCACCAATCAGTGTAGTATCTTCACCTGATGGTGCTAGTATAGCAGCCCCAAGCGGTATAGTATCTTCACCTGATGGTGCAAGTAGTATAGCAGCACCAAGCGGTATAGCATCTTCCCCTGATGGTGCTAGTATAGCAGCACCAATGAGTGTAGTATCTTCATCTGATGGTGCTCGTATAGCAGCACCAAGCGGTATAGTATCTTCAACTGATGGTGCTAGTAGTATAGAAGCACCAAGCGGTACAGTATCTTCACCTGATGGGGCCAGTATAGCAGCACCAAGCGGTCTAGTATCTCCCCCTGATGGTGCCAGTATAGCAGCACCAAGCGATATAGTATCTTCACCTCATGGTGCCAGTATAGCAGCACCAAGCGGTCTTGTATCTTCACCTGATGGTGCTAGTAGTATAGGAGCTCCAATGAGTATAGTATCTTCACCTGATGGTGCTAGTATTATAGCAGCACCAATGAGTATAGTATTTTCACCTGATGGTGCTAGTAGTATAGCAGCACCGAGCGGTATAGCATCTTCACCTGATGGTGCTAGTATAGCAGCATCAATGAGTGTAGTATCTTCACCTGATGGTGCTAGTATAGCAGCCCCAAGCGGTATAGTATCTTCACCTGATGGTGCCAGGATAGCAGCACCAAGCGGTATAGTATCTTCAACTGATGGTGCTAGTAGTATAGCAGCACCAAGCGGTACAGTATCTTCACCTGATGGTGCCAGTATAGCAGCACCAAGCGGTATAGTATCTTCACCTGATGGTGCTAGTAGTATAGCAGCACGAAGCGGAGTAGCATCTTCAACTGATGGTGCTAGTAGTATAGAAGCACCAAGCGGTCTAGTATCTTCACCTGATGGTGCCAGTATAGCAGCACCAAGCGGTCAAGTATCTTCACCAGATGGTGCTAGTAGTATAGCAGCACCAAGCGGTCTAGTATCTTCACCTGATGGTGCTAGTATAGCAGCACCAAGCGGTATAGTATCTTCACCTGATGGTGGCAGTATGGCAGCACCAAGCGGTCTAGTATCTTTATCTATGACTTATTGGGTACAATGTTCTAACTCCTTGAAGCAATTAGTACTCTACTGGCACAGTTCCCTTTAGAGAAAGTGTAAATATATTTCAATGACTTAACCCTAAGGCTGCTACATTGATTTATATGTAAAGGGACGCCACTGCTGAATTAATTATTGAAATATAAATTAATTTACTTAATTTTTCAAATGCGCATAACTTGAACAATATTTGTTATATGTGAATAAAAGTTATAGGAAAATTGTTCGTTATTGTCTCGAGTTTATATTAACGTTTTCGATTCTAAAGTTGCTTCAGTATTTACCTGTACAGGTGGTAATAAAAGTAAGAAAAGGTGAAACTTTTAATTAATCGGATTTAAGCACCAGAAAGATCATTTTAAAATTGTTTTTGTCAGCAAATGTGATTGGAAAATGATAACAGAGATTATAAACTTCATTTATGACATAAGACGCTGTACATTTACACGGAGATTCTCAGGTAAAAAGGTCAGGTATTTCATCAAGAATTGCATGCGATTTGCTACAGGTTTCAGGTCGTCATTCAATATATTTATTGTCACAGTCGGCATTTATGATTAAATCATCGATAAATAGTTTGAAGAAATCAATCGGCTCAAAACGTATCAATGTCAATGTTAAATTCGGCCTCACCTGCAGACGACATGTGGCCTTGGTCCGCCGATATTTTAGGGCACAAAGCCGTTCATTGGAAAGTTACATATAAATTATGTTACACCGAAGTTTTTCCACATCAACCATGTCAAACCCTTTAAAACCTTTATCATCATCGTAGGTGACGCTGGAGAATAAATGTTTACCATCATATTCATCCCTTTTATGACGTTTTTTTCCGATTTGAAATTCTCTTGCACACTTTGATTATTACTAGGGTACATTGCCGGGAATATCGAAAGTAATGACAAAACAACCAATCAGAAGCCTTCTACTATACGCTTTCAGGTTTGACATAACAACAGTCCGCTTTCACACTTCCTGTTTACTGATCAAAAACCTACAGACCGCGCGCCACTATTGTGGTGCGTAGCACTGACGGCCCGACTTTTAGAAACGACTATTGTGGCGCATAGCAGCCTTAGGGTTAAAATACACAGCAATATTACTGAAAACAAACATTGTGGTAAATAAGGTTATTGCAGGTGGCTGACGGCACAGTGGATAGCAGGTTTAAGCCTAGTTCAATAAGATGGCTAAAGTTTGATTACCTAACTGAATGTGATATGTTAACAACTCCACGATCACATGCCTTTTATGCTAGTACCAGATACTCAGGGTTCATCACTCACTAAAAAACCTTGATGCCTCCATTGGTGTTTCATAGTTGTTGTAATGTAAAGCGAATTTCTCAAGGTTTTTGAGACGTCAGAGGTTTTAACAACAAAGTTCAATAATGCACAGCAATGTTAAGTCATTGGATCTGAAAATAACACCCTGTATTGTCTCTGTGGATGGCAGTGTATTGATTTGCTACATGGTTTTTCAAAAGATTATCACTGGAATTTTCCCTATTAAGTTCTATGTGAGGTTTATGTAATCTTTATAGCTTCATGTGATGGATATAAATCCCCTGACCTGCTGAGCAACTATAAATGACCCGGGGAACTTCACCTAAACAAATTGAATATTCTCCCCCTAACAACAAATTAATATCTAATCCAATGTAAAGACACCGTTAAGACAACGTTTCATTTGGTCCTTGGATTACATTTGGTAGATAAAAATATTTATGTAACTTATCTATTTATCATTTAGATATCCAAAAAGTGTTTCATTTGGAAAATAGGTCATGATCTGATTGCATTTTACTACTACCTAATATCATCATTCATCTGAAGAATTTATACCTATAACAAGGTTGAGATTAATTTTTAATTCATTTTTGAAATTATTTGCAGTAAGTAGATCAAGTTCGAATTCAAAGCTTGTATCAAATGCAGCATTGAGGTTTCTTGTCCGTGTAAAATTGAATCGGAATGGAGCGATACTCGACTGGATCACAACGATCAGCAGAGGGAGGCGAATACAAGTCTCATCTTTGGCCTACAGCAAGATGAACGCTGACACCTAAATATCAATGTTAGCTCTGTGTGGGAGTGTTACCAAATGAGTTCTCCAAAGGCAGGTTCCGTCTGCTAATGAACATTCGTCACGCTGATAAATCTTTGAATCAATCGAGTTCCCAGTAGATTTTAGAAGCATTTCTCGTTACCAGCCTAGTGCTGATAGGTCCTTGTAAAAATAGTGTCGGAGACGCATATTTCATTGTTAAAATAGTGTTAGAAATATATACTTCAAATACTTCTTTGTAAAAATAGTGTCAGAGACGTACATTTCAAAAGTAATGTATAGTTCATTGTTAAAATAGTGTAAATGTATAATGTCATAATCAATACCAGCGTGTCATACTGTCAATACATATATTTTAGGGGTAATCTGATTTTACTTTTCACGCTAACATATGATTGAGCTAATATTGCAGTTTACTGATGCTGTTTTCTATTGTGATCACACCCAGCTCATCAATGTGCTATATCTGTTAAATTTCAATAACTTGCCCAACTTTAGAGTGTATTAAAGTATTTATGTCTGATCTACAGTAATCAGTTTCAACCATCCAACGTAATCTACAGCAATCATACAAACTACAACTAAGAATGAACGTGAGAAACTTGGGTGAAGTTAACCTTTTCACCCCTATGTAACTTAAGTAAACTCTACCATGCACTGATCTGGATGAGTCCATTATGGTCTACAGTGTTGAAAGGGTTAATAGATTATTTTTAATACTGTCGCACAAATGAATACATATATCCATACATGAATTCGTGACAAACCTCTTAAAAAGGAGACGTGTTTATATTATATTTATTGCTGAAAGGGAGAGTGCAGTTATCCCTTGAGAGCAAAGTGTTCATCAAAACTGATTGTTGAAAATAAGTTAAGTCAGAAAAACTGAAAGTATGGATTTATTATATATAATAAACGGCCTCAGA